AGAATACTTTTGCTGTTAAAAAAAATAAATAACCCAAACACCTGGCAAAAATGGAATGAAGTCTCAGTTAGACAGCAGTTAATTTAACAATTGTACTTCCTGATTTATAACTACAGGAAATATATGCTATACTATTTGGGGTAATAAAGCTATAAAGTTTGCATTTCCAAATCAATTTTTTACAATCATCCATCAAGTGTTTTAATGAAAATGTAACCAATAAATTTTTTAAAATTTTTAAATTGAAACACTGCATCATAAATTTCAGCTGTCATTAAAATCAACATCTGTATATACTAAATAAATGAATGAAAGTCCAATTCTATCCCTCACCACACAATTGACCCTTTTTACCCAATTTACTCAACCTCACTCCCCTTCTAGTCTTAAAAAACTAAACGTTTATTTTTGCTTTGTTCATACATTTGTTTTCTCTATATGTCAAATCATACGAGTAAAATCACACAGTATTTACCTTTCTCCATCCAGTTTATCTCACTAGACATAATGCCCTCTAGGTCCTTTCATGTTTACGAATGACAGGATTTCACTTTTATCACTGTGTATTCTACTGTGTATGTATACCACATATTTATTCCATTGTCTTGTCTTTATTATCAGTAAGTGGTTTCCAACTCTTGGTCACTGAGGATGCACATATGGCTTCAAGTTTGCATTCTACAGGTATATATACCCAGACGCAGAATAACTGGCACAAAGAAATTTCTACTTTTATTTTCTGAAGAACCTCCATCCTGCTTTCCATAGTGGCTGCACCAATTTACACTCCTTCCCACAAACTATAAAGATAATTACTTGCTCTTCATATTCTCTCCCAAATTTGTCATTTATTGTCATTTAGGTAATAGCCATTCTCCCAAGTGTGATGTGGCAATATTGCCACACTATTGTATAATCATCAAACTTAGTAAAAGCTTAAAACTAAATTATTCCAAGTACTCTTTATAAAAAGGACAAATACCTAATGTGACAGTTGGAGTCACTATATAAACATACCAAATTAACATGCTGTATACTTTTAAATTTATCCAGTGTCAAATATAGTTCAATAAAAATAATAGTAGTAACTGTTATTCTTATGCAATTTTAAAGTTTCACTTTTCATTTTGTTTGTTGCTGGCATATAAAATACAAATGAGTTGTATACATATCCCATATATAGCAACCCTGACCATTATACTTACTACTTCTCATAGTTCACAGGTTTGGGAGTTTCTACATAAAGCTCATAAATAATGAGCTTTATTTGAGCTTTATTTCTACCTCTCCAACAGTGATTGTTATTACCTAGTAATAGTAGGCATCCTGGTCTTAGTACCAATTTCAAGTGTGATGTCTGTAACGGCTGTTATGCAGATATTCTTTATTGGAGTAAAAATGCTCCCTCTTATTCTATTTAGTGAAGTTCTAAAGTTCTATTGGAATGATCTTAGTTTTTATCTTTTAACATTATTACTATGGTTAATTAAACTCTTGCCTTTTTTTTGTAGTTTCAAATTTAAGTTGCCAATACTTAATATTTTTTAACTCTATTCATGAAAAGATTGATCTGGAAATCTAATTTCCAATGTATGTTCAAGGTTGTCGGTGGAAATGGTCTCTTGTCCAGTCTCTGGAAGAATTTATGTAGTGACAATTAGTCTTAGTGTTTGAAAGAATTTAGGGGTGAGTCTAGAGTAGGCCTGAAAATGTGGGAAACTTAAATTATGGATTGTTTTATACATCACAAAATTCCTTATAAAGTGTGCAATTGATTCTTAGTATATTCATAAAGCCTTGCAACCATTATCACAATCAATCCCAGAAAATTTAAATCATGTCCAAAGAAACTATAAACCTATTAGCAGTAACTATAGTCCCTGGCAAAGACCAACTTCTGTTGCCATGCCTTTAACTATGATGGTCATTTCACATTAGGGGAACCAAACCTATATGGTCTTTCTTAGTATCTTTTAATTTAGAATGTTTTTCAAGATCCATACAATGTGCATGTACTTCACTCCTTTTTATGGATAAATAATATTCCATCGTGTGAATGTTTATTTTGTGCCTTTATCAGTTAATGGCTTTTAGGCTGTTTCCGTTATCAGGGATAAATTCTGCTATAAATGTTCATGAACATATATAAGCATATGCTCTCAATTAAGAACAGAATTACTGAATCATATGGTAGCTCCATGTCTTTTTGAGGTCTATTTCTCAAAAGTGGCTGTACCATTGTACAATCACATCAGCAACATGAAGGTTCCAATTTCTCCATATCCTTACTGTCATTGTCTATTTTTCTAATTATAGCATCCTAGTGTTAGGGAGTATTATCCCATTATGGTTTACAATTGCATTTTTCCTATCACTTTGAAGATTCTATTACCTCTGCCTTCCACTGTGCTTCCTTGTACCACACTTTTCCATATTCTGAAAGTCATGTGACATGTTTCTCACTGCTCTAGATGTGTTTCAAAAAATTCAATAGTATTAGTAATATCTGCATTGGCATGATCTTCCCTAAATATATTTTACTTATGGGGGCCTCCATGGTGGCATTAAGAGTTGTGTCAGCACTAAGTCATCTGAGTTTGAGACCCTAGACAGGGAGCTAACCCACACATGGCACAGCTGGCCTCTGCTGTTTCACCCGCTGCTTCCCTTAGCAGTGTATTTCAGTAGCTGTTTTCTCCCCACTTTGTTTCGTGAATTCTTTCACCCTCTGCAGCTCTGGCCCACACCCATTCTTACATGCATAAACAATAACATGTGTGTGTTATTTGAGGTTTAAAACGTGTTAGATGATTTTCCAAAGTTTTAGGAAATAATCTTAAGTATTAACCCAAATATTTTCTATTTCTTCTCTTTCTGTGACTAGCAGGTACAATAATGTTAGCCCGACTCTGTATTGCATTGTTTTCTGACTCTCCCCTACCCTTCTATGCATCATTCTTTTCTAGCCAAAATTTCTTCCTTTAGGTGTGTATTTCACCTATCATATTCTTAGTTTCTTTAATTCCCAACTCCCTACTGAAAGTTTCAATCTTTTCTTTTTCTTGCGAGCATAACCCATGGCATTTTTAAATCTAAGCATGCCTAAGCGCTCCACATATTGCCTGTTGACTCCAGAATTAGGGGGACTTACTCTCCCAACCACAAGCAGTGCTGGATCAGGGCAAAGGAGCAGTAAAGAATATGCACATTCTGCAAGCAGATTCACTACCAACATTAGTATCTCATTTTTTTCTGCCAGTTGCCTGTAGGATCATTCTTTTTTATATTAAATTCTCAGTTGAAAAATATGGTAACATAAGTGTTTGTCTAGTCCCACATAAGAAGAGACTTAGAGCTACAAATTTTCAGCAAAAAAACGACAGTTTCGTATGAGTAAAACTTACAGGCATACTATGTAGGCAAATAGGAAAATGGCAAAATGAAGCTATAAAGGATGGGAAGAGATAGATCACAAAAGATCTTACAAACTAGATGAAGAGTTTATATTTCATCCTGTAAGATTGAGAGGTTAGTATTAAAGTTTAATGATGAAAAATAAGAAGACATCCATTCTAGAAAGATAATTCAGACAAATTATGAAAAAAGATTTGAAGACAAAATAAGGCAAAGACCAGTTAGAATAATCCAGGTAAGATAAGACCAGTTACAATCAAAGTACCAAAATAGAGGATGGATTTTATCTATGAAGTCCCATACCTTACCTTTAGCTAATGACCATAAAAAGAAAATGAGATTTAATACCAGCTTTCAAGCCCTACTAATATAATACAGGACCCAAACACTTCAAAGACAGACTTGAAAAGCAGTATCTCATTTTTATCTCTGGTAGTTAAACACCAAGCAAGAAGAGAGAAGTTAGAATTAGAAATATGGGCAAAGTCCATTTTGAAATTTGAACTTTGATTAACATCCACCAAAGAACTATAGCAAGAGTCATTTAAAAATATTTTTCAATAACATATTCTAATATATATAATTATCTTGCTCACAGATATTTTCCTATTTTAATTAAAAATAAAGGGCCCTCCCTGGTGGCGCAGCGGGTTAAAGCACTGCATTAAGAAGCTTAAGCCACTTCCTCATGAGTTCAATTCCCGCCTGCCCCGGAGGAGATCCACATGGCGTGGCAGACCTCTCCTGACCCGCCTGCTGCTCCCCTCAGCAGTGTACTTTGTTGATCTGCCTGTTCTGCTCCCCACTCTGTCTCTGGTGAAGCCTCTCACCCTCCGCATCTCTGGCCTGTACCTCAGTTCTATATGAATAAATCTTTAAAAATAAATAATTAAATAAATAAAAATAAAAACACAAAAATGAATTCCTTTTATTATTTAATATTTTTAAATTTAAAACTTTCAGTTTAGGTGTCTTAAAGACAAATTTAATAAAAATAATTTTACCTGTCAATCATGGCTTCTTAATATAAAGTGGAAAAGTGTATTCTCCCTCAAAAAAAAAATAAAATCAGCACTTCCAACAAAACTAAGAAAGGGTTACATGTCATTAGCTCAGAAAAGGGGTACCAAAACCTAAAGACATGAATAAATACCTTTATTTTAGCCCCCAAATGAAATATTTACTACAGTTTAATGCTTTCAATATGATATGCCATTTAAAATAAATTATCCTTGAAAATAAGATTTTAACCATTTAATACAATCTCTGAAATGGTATCTAGGAAATAGATACCATTAATATAAGAGGCCAATATTTACAATCAGCAAAATAAGCAAAGCAATTTGCATCTGAATGCATTAATTATTAACATTTCAACAATGTTCCATCAGTAAACACCAATACAATGCTTTAGCAATTATTTAATGTGAATGACAAGAAATGAACAAATTTCTCAGTTCACAGTGGATCACCAAATTCATTTACATAGCAGGTACTTATAAAAGTTATTTTTATTAAAAAAAATCTAAATATACAAACACAAGTTAACTTTTAAAATTAAAATATAAGTTATAAAACCTCCCTTTTCCTGTTTACAAAAAGTTTCAAAAATAAAATGACATATTTAGTTCTAAATGTTTCCTTTTTTTTCCTTACACTATTTTTGTTAACTATTTATTCAATCGCTTCTTCAGATTCTCAAGGTGTTCCGTATTCACATCTTGTAATGCCAATACCATTGCTTTAGACAAGGAGGGATTGAATGAAATAGTCATTAGACAACACAAATCTATTAAATCTCTCTGACATTTCTGCAAACCATCCAGAAATTTCTGGTATTGAAGAGGGTTCTTTTTTAACTGTTTCATTTCTGATACTGAAAACCCTATCAGACTAGTAAGTATTTCATCTATAAAATCTACATCTAGATATGCAGTACCATCAGAAATTTTTGCTGTTATACTCCAAATGCCACCAGAACTTGAGAGATTTCCAGTTAAGGTTACAATGAAAGCTTTGACTTTCACTGTTGTAACTTCCTTTGGCTTGCTGGCCATTAAAACAGATAAGTATGTAAATGGTGGAGAATACAAATCCATGGCAATAGAATGATTAGTACTATTCTCGGACAATCTTAAAGAATGAGTCTGTAAATTTGGGTGATTTTCATAAGAATCTTGTGAACTCCTTTTGTGAACATAATTGATCAAACTTCTATTTTCATTATTTACAGAATGTCCATCTGAACTGCTGATGGTTTGTTTTATTTTATGATTTATCTCTGAGTTCTTATCTTTGTTTATCAAATCAGAAGATGGAGACACATTAGGAAGTGAAAAAACATTGTTTTGGTCTCTAGCAATTGGGCAACTAAAAGAGTGATCTTCATGAGTGATTTGTTCAGATAATCTTTTCTCCTTCCAATTATTACTTCCATTTTTGCAAAACAAAGAAAAATCATTCAGAGTATTAGGTTTACATGAAAAGCTCTCTGTATTTGCATCTGTGTTTCTGTTTAAAGTCAAAGGCTCAAATTCTTTGGTCTCCATTTGTTCTTTCTGGACAGATTCTTCTAAAAGCAAGGCCTCTTCCAGTGAAAAGTCATCTAATTCCCCATCAGTGAAATATATACACTGATTTGGTAGTTTTTCCTTTGGTCTTGGAGGAATAACAAATCCTTGTTCACCACCTGATCCTTTTGAGGGAACAGTATTTGAGGAATTATCTATGCTGAGATTGCTTTCCAAGCATGCATCATTATTTGCTGTAAGCTCATCATTTTCTTCAAGACTTGCCAAGAGTTCTTCATCAGAAGGTCCCAATGCAGGATCTAGAACATCTGCAGTTCTGGGGATGCTTTGGTTAGAAATACTTGGTATGACTGAAACTATAGCATCGGGCTCCCCAATTAATCTTGCAAGTATTTTTTCTTGTGCAAATTCCTCTAAAAGAGCATCTACTTCTCCTCCTAATACCTTCACATTTTCTGGTTTTAGTAAGAGAACACCAAGTCGGAAAGAAATATTTCCATAAATCAAAATTTTTGTACCTGGAGGAAGATTACAATGTAGAGCTGGGATAGACTGATACTCCATTCCCTGAATTTGTACAATTCCATCAGTTAGCTGTAACATTAACATTCGTGAAGGTTTTGCTTCCCAAGGTTTTTGGGTTACTAGTGTATCAGCTGTAATTAGGTCATTCGTTGTATTCTTTCCTCTCAACTTTTGTATCTGGGAATACGCAGGTTGACTTATGTCCACCAGTGAATTAATCTGCAGAGCAAAAAACCCATTCAGTTCTCCTTTTGAAACCTCCATAATGCCATCAGGTAAAAGAGGATACTCCAAATCTCTTAGATCAGTAAGGAGCCATTGCTCAAATACTTGTTTATTCATTTGTGCCTGACTCAAATTTACATTTTCATTTTCTTCTTGGATCCAGTTAATACAAGCTTCCAGCCACGTTACAGGTACTTTAACATGCCAGGTAGCTAAAAGCCAGGTTTCAACTCTTAATGCAATACTAGTTACACTCATTTCTTTTAGTAAAAGAAATATTATGCATTACCTGAAAACAAAACAAAACAAGAAATCAGTACATTTAAATACATTTTTTTGTAATTCTCTACAATGCACACACAGGCACAATTGACTTTCCATGTGGCCAAAATTCAAATACCACAAAAATCAGATGGTATGATAAGAAAAGCAAGTTTTGAGATAGATATGCCTATGTTTGAAAGTTGGCGGTCAAATTACAATCACTTTGTCTTTATTTTATCCAGTTTTTCAATCTAGAAAATGTCAGTATCACCACACTGGAGAGCTGTTGCAAGGAGTAGATGTATAACCTTTATAAATCACAACATCAGACCTATAAAAAACACTAGTTACTACATTAACTATTCAAAATGTATTTAAGAAAAATATTGACTAAGGAGCATAGGATTTGATGACAAGATTTGGAAATGGTTGCTCAGTGAAGTACTTGTAAACTCTACTGCACAGAAATGGCCCTAGGAAAAAGACAAGATACAATAAGGGTTATAACAGGAAACTGCAAAAAGACCTATTTTAATAAATGGAAGTTTGATGGTATGCTTTTATTATCAATCAGTATAGAGTAAAAACGTGAGGTTAAGAAACAAGTGACCATGTGAAACTTACATACTCCAAGCCTGTATCCTTACTTATATGTTACCTCAGAGGACTATTGTGAAAATTAAAGATAGGGGAGAACCACAGATAAGGGCCCATCACATGGACAGATATTGGGAGGTTGGCTCAACTCACCCAAGAGCAATCTAGCCCACTTAAGTCACTCACCTGAGTTTCACAATCACCACCACCATGGCTAGTCACAGAGCAATGAAGCAGCTACAGCAGGCCAAGAAATGGGTCAGCAAGGTGTCTGTAGCCCAAAAAGGAAGAGAACTGGAGGCTTAAAGAAGCCAAGGTAACTGAGGCTGAAGGTGCATAGTAATGCCACAAACAGAGTGTTCAAAGACCAAAGAAGCTGTTATACAGCTACTACAGTGGTACCACTGAGGTACCAGGAGAAAATCATGCTTCAGACCTACTTCCAAAAGAACAAGGATGGGAGCCTCTCTGGTGGTGCAAGGGTTAATCCTCAGAGCTATCAAGCTGTCACCAGCCACATCAAGCTGTCACCAGCCACTGCTGCACAAGTTCAAGTTCAAGCCCGGGAGAGGTAGCAGTCCTATTTTGCCTGTTGCTCCCCTCCCCTTCAGTCAATCCACCTGTTCTGCTCCCCATTGTTTCTGGTGAATTCCCTCACCTTCCATACCTCTGGCTTACATTATCCCAGTTCTTGTATATATAAATAAATTAAAATAAATCTCAAAAAAAAAATTTTAAAGGATGCACTCAGAGCATTATATTAAAAAAAAAGTCCTGGAGGCCCTCCCTGGTGGCGCAGCGGGTTAAAGCACTGCACTGAGAAACTAAAGCCACCTCTGCATGAGTTCGATTCCCGCCTGCCCCGGAGGCGACCACATGGCGAGGCAGACCTCTCCTGACCCGCCCGCTGCTCCCCTCAGCAGTGTACTTCGTCGATCTGCCTGTTCTGCTCCCCACTCTGTCTCTGGTGAATCCTCTCACCCTCTGCATCTCTGGCCTGTACCCCAGTTCTGTACGAATCAATAAATAAATCTTTAAAAAAAAAAAAAAAAAAAAAAAGTCCTGGATAATCTCTTGTGCTTTTTCTGCAACATTCACAGAAATGCACAAAAACCACCACAAATAATTAGGAGAATAAGAAAGAAGTGGTGTCAGGGCTTTTACCTATCAAAAAATAGTAAATAATTATTTTTAATCGGTGTTACACAGCGGTCAACCTTAAAATAGTCCTTCCTGGCTAAAGGTTAGTTAACAATAACAAATACTACCTACTAAAAGAGTTTAGGCTGGTTTTAGATTCCCTTAATCAAAACTACTACATGATAGAATTTAAGACCTTGTTACATGTTATTGCTTGGTATAAGCAGTTAGGACAGCTAGTATATAATCTAATGGTTCAGAGTAAAATCTTGTACCAAATTATCTTCCACTTATAAACTATAGTAGTCACATTATTAATTTAGTGAATGCTTAAACTTTAAAGGAAGAATAGCTATTGTGAAAGTTACATGAATATTTTAAACAAGGAGTTAAGAAGGTCATTATAATTATGCAACAGGTGAGTCTTTATATTGAAGAAAACGACTGAATTTTCTAGAGATGAAAAATAATGGAAAAATTCAAAGGCAGAAAGTCCCTGCCCTTTGTGATGAAAATAAACCATGCAGAGTCAAATCAGCATGTCTCTAAAAGAGAAACTAAAAAGCCACAATCAGACCTGATTTATCAAATGGAAATATTTCCTAACTTATCGCCAAGTTAAGAAAAACAAAATATATTATGCACAAAAGAAACACAGGTATATTCTTCCATACTTATATGTACATAAAGGTCTACAGAAGAATATACAAGAAAATAGACAAAAAAGGCCTTAAACATACAGCTAAGCTCAATAACAAAAAGTTAAGATCCCTGGGGTCCAGGAAGAGAGGAGAAACCTAGAGTAGTAAGTGGGCCCAGGAAAAAGCAGCTAGATAAAAACAATGCAAATTAAAACTCCCACTCTGCAATTATGGTACAGAAGACCAGAACAGACTCTTCGTAGGAATGAGCCAAAAAATGTTACACCCAACACTATTGCCTGGGCATCTTACCACCCTAATTTACAATCCTGAGATTGGAAAGTGGGTCTACATAACACATATACTACACACAGGCTGGGCCAGACTTGAACTATCCCAAACCCTAACTGCTAATGAAACAGATGACCTACAGGAATGCCAGTCATCAGTTCAAGCTGAAGTAACTCCAAAACCGCACAAACAAGAAAACACACATGGGGAAAATTCCTATTCAACATCAATCTTTAATCTAAAATTTTAATACACTCAAGGAAAATTACCACCATGAGCCACATCAGTAGAAACAACAAAAAGAATGTATACCTGAAGAAAAAATTTTAATTAAGAATCTTAAAATGTAATATACTTTGAAAGCAGTATTGATAATTAAACAGTCACTTAGGAAAAGAATCAATTGGAAATCTTAGAAATGGGAAATAGTTTCTAAAAATTAAAAACTCAATAGATAGGAATAAATAACAAACTAATACCAAATGAAGTGAGAACTTGTGCACTGGGAATACTCTATAATGGTACCAAAAAAATAAAAGATTTAAAAATGTAAGCAAAAAAAGAAAAACCACTGTTAGACAGGTTCCAACCCTGAATTAATCAGCTTCAGAAGATGAAATTAGAAAATAAAGATAAAAGAAATATTTTTGAAAGGCATTAGCCTTTCAAGATATACTCATATATACATATAAATTCCTAGGTTGAAAAATTAATGCTATTAAGCAGATATTATTAAGCAGAATTTTTTAAACTCCACATGTAAACAGAGTACAGCAAACTGCAAAATATCAAGGATAAAGCATCAACAAGCTGAATGTAAAACTGGAGTAACCAAAAATGTACAAAATTCTTTCTCCATATTAAAGTAAATTTGTCTTGCTCAGGAGGATAGTGAAGATATTAAATTTAGAATTTTATATAAAAATATAAAAATATATGTTTAGCAGTAACAACGGAGATTGATAAAAATGTAGAACTGAAATTGAATTTTCCAAAGCCAGAAAACCCAAGGGGAGGTGGGGGGGGGAGACAACAAACTTTTGAAGCTAGAAAGCAGACAGTTATAGATGGTATAGCAAACACTTAAAAGTTGAATTCCAAGTTAATATTAAGGATGGTTGAGTTATTAAGACTGTGACATCTGTATCCAACATCAGAGACATCATTCTCTTTCTACAGGGTAAAACAAAGTAGGGGAAACCACAGTACAGTTGAAAGTAGTGGGATCATATCGGAAGTAAGGAGAACAAATGAATTTTTAAATTAAAAATATTCTACCCTAAAGCCCAACAGATTTGCTAAGTTTATAGCCTACTTTGTTAGTAGACCAGAAAACCTTTTACAGAATATAAAAAAAACCTATATGGAGATGAACCTTTATATATTAAGAAATTAAATACTGGGCCCTCCCTAGTGGTGCAATGGGTTAAAGCACAGCACTATGCAGTGATCCACGATCTGCAGCCACTGCAGAAGTTCAACTCCTGGCCAGAGAGGTGACCCACCTGGCACAACAAGCCTCTCCTGACCAGCCTGCTATTCCCCTCAGCAGTGTATTTCAGTGGATCCACCTGTTCTGCTCCCTATTCTGTCTCTGAGTGAATCGTCTCAGCCTCCCGCACATCGGGCCTGTACCCCAATTCTTGTATGCATAAGTAAATCTTTAAAATTAAAAAAAAAAACCTTATATGGAGAAACATAAGAGGTTCTCCAATTTAAAAGCCCTACAGACTCAAGAGTTCTAACCAGTTTTCTAATTTTTCACTTTTAGTTATGATAAAATATTTGAAAAAGCTTCTAACAATGAAGTGACTATAAAGAGAGATGAAAATTTCAAAAAAAAAACAACCCATCATTAGTATCCTCAGAGAGATACTTCATCATATCTATGAAGTAAGAATAGGATGCCATAAGGAGAAATGTCAGGACAAAAAAAAAAAAAACTCTAAAATGTGATAGCAAAAATGAAAAACAGTAGAAATATTAAAGGTAAGAAAATCTCATCCAAAAATAAAACATCATTACAAAGAAATCAACAGACCAAGCGTTTCCAACAAGGAAAAAAAGGGAGGGGATATAATCATCAAAGAAAATTTTAAAAAATCAAAGATGGAAAGAACCTAACACAATGAATAAAAATAGACATACAACAAAGCTTTGATATATATGAAACTTTAGAATACTGGGACAAAGATTCTTCAAGCAACCAGAGGGATAACAAACAACAGGTGACATTCACAAGATCACAAATGAAAATGCCTTTGGGCCCTCCCTAGTGGTGCAATGGGTTAAAGCACAGCACTATGAAGCAATCCTCAGCCACTGCAGCAGGAGTTTGGTTATAGGCCAGGGGGGT